CACAGTTGTTTCTTGCATAATAATGCTGCCCCTCTAGTTATGCTGGCCAAATTCATGTTTTCTGCAGCTGCTGGTTTGTTGATTCTGCAGTTTGTTTTTCAGTTGGTACCTAAATGAAAAACAGTCACGTTCTCTTATTGTATCTTCCTTGCAATAAGCAGCATAAGTGAAAAAAACTGTACTTCAAGCAGTTTGGACCCAGAGTCATGTGGAATAGAAAATTATGTCCTAATGTGTTTATGTCCAAGATGTGTTTCCTAACCTAAAATACTTTGGAGTTTTACTGTGCTGTGCAGTAATGGCAACATGACTATTTTTTTACTGGTTTTGCCCTACATTTTTTGTCTAGTGCTTTTTGGCTTTTTTTGTCTGAGTTTCTAGTTTTATGGAGCAGTGACTTTTGTCCGAAAGTAAAAGTCAAGTATTTCTCAGTGAAAAATTGGTAACAGTTCTCTCTGTTATTGCAGAGATATGCCTATTCCAGGTACAGGATACTGCACTGATGCAGCATTCCAGATAAAGAGAAATCCTGACCTAAGAAATTTGTGTCGTTCCAGATTCGCAGGTACACCGTATGACTCACACAAGATGTTCTCAAGTGGATGAGCAACCACAAGTATGTGATGGAAAAGCAATGAAAATTCACACACGGGGAGTGTTTGTGGATTACTCTGAGCTCAGAGTAAGTCTAATTTCAATTTTGTAAATACTGAAGTAGGAAATTCTCTTGCTACCTGAGCAGCTGTAAATTAAGTTGGTTGTTAACCAATGCCAATTCAAATGATTTATGGGAGTGATGTTTAGCTTGTGAAATAATTCAGTCTGCAGTGGACTATGATTGTTGTTTCCACAGCTGGTGTAGACTGCTGCTCTTGCTTTAGGTGAACTAAATTTTAGACTGGGTCCTCTTCCTAATTTTTAATGTAAAAGGGCTTGTTTAATTTAAAAATAGCCAACTGACAACCTGCTAGTACTGTTGGTTATTAATGTCTTGGCAGTTTTTATGATGGATTGGAGGGAGGTTGTTTTGGTTTGCTGTTTGCATGTTTCCATTTTTTAGGAACCAGAAAACGACATCAATTTTCAGCAGTGATGACTTTAAACCCAAAGTTTAGTGACCTAAAGCTCATCCCAGATAAACTACTAATACCTGCTTTTCTTGAATTCACTCAAAATCTGGTATGAGAATTTCGCTTTCATACAGTTACACTGTTAGAAGGTTTTCCAAGGAGAAGTTGCTATCCTAGTCTACAGTTGAGGAAAGGGTCAAAAATGGGCCAAGCTGCAGGGTGTAAAAGAGGTTCCTTTGTGTTAACTGGAGAGAGTAGAAGCAGGACCTGACCTTCAGGATATATTGTTGTGAGGTGCTGGAGGTTGGTCAAAGCAGAGGAGGTTGCTGTTTACCTGCCATGATGAGAAAGGGATTACTTGGATGTTTCCCCTGTGTGGGAATGATGTGACCAGAGAGGAATCCCCTTTGGTGAAGGGGCTTGTCAATACAACTTCTGTCATATTTTTAAGCTGTGACCTAATTTGTAGAGGTGAAACTTTCTAAGGCTGGTGTTCCAAGGAAGCAAATTTCAGGGGTTTTTGTTAACATCTGCCTGTGAGTGTGCCACGTAGGTTTCTCTAGGTTCAGGGTGCTAATAGCATGTGCTCAGAAGTGGAGAAATGGTACAGTAGAGCCCTTATAGATGTTTCAGCTGTGAGCAGAGAACTTCAGTCATGAAACACGTTTTTTAGAAAACTTGTTTCCTTAATGTTGGTGCCACTGGAACTTGCTGCTTGCACCAGAGAGCCCCTTTGGAACTCACTGTAGTCAATAGGCTGGGAGGACCTCAAAAACATAGGTGCTTGGTTTTGTATGGGGATTTTTGGTCAGCTGGTTGGGTTGGGTTGGTTTTTTGTCTGTTTGCTTATGTGCTTGGCAACAGATGTTGAACTCGATGCATAAATAGAAGAGCATAGTGTCACAGATGTGGCAGCAATTAGAAATGGTTTTACAAGGGATGTTGGCCATACACCTCTCTCACATCTGACCTTTTGTGTTTGCAGCAGCTGAAGGCACACTGTGAGGTTTTTGTGTGTCTTACCTGCACATTGTATAGAACCAAGTTGAGGGGAATACTCAAATCTTGTGCTTGCTGATCTGAGGGAGGCTGAGCTAATGGCAAACAGTTGTGAGGCAGTAATGTTTTCATTTGGTGTGGCTGCTCTCGTAAGCTACATCTTCACAGCCTCACACAACACACAGCTACTGAGCAGCCCCAGCAGTGCTGCTGCTAGTGTTGCTTTCCCAGAGAGCACAACATCCACATCTTTGGTAACACAAGGGACTGTGTGAGAGACTGGTAATTGGCTGCAGGCAGTCACTCAGCTAGTTCACCCACACTTGAGTTAAAAGGTAGGAGCTAACTGATGTAACTTTGCTTGCTGATCTGCTTCAGACACTTGAGCAGTGTGTTTTGCCAGCAGTGCTGTAGACACAGTACACATTCAGCTAATGGACAAAGGTGAGCACCCAAGGATGCTTCCTTTTCTGCCTGGCACAGCTGTATCTGGAAGAACTGTAGCTTTGTCTTCCAAAGACACATCTTCCAAGCCCTTGGATTGCATTTCTCATGAAATGCAACTGTGGCTTTGCTGTGGCAGCTACTCTATGGCAAAGTGGATTGTGTCATTCCCTGCTATTCTGGAAGCAGTTGATTGGCAATTATCATTGGTGATGTCATAGATTGATGACTAAGAAAATACTGTCTGAAATTTAAGCCTCCATTTTCTCTGAAGTATGAAAAATTATCTTGTTTCCTCCAGTTAAATCCTGTGAGATAATCAGTACTCCTAAGTGCCACTTTTACTAACAACATAAAAAGCAGGATGTATCTTGGGCTATTCTGAACTACAGATTCCATTCTTTTTCTTCAGCAAGTGTTACATTGGATTGCCCTGGTAATTGAGAACGTCAGGATATCTCACATGGAAAAACAGTATTCTGCTCTTAGCCAGTGCATTTGCAAACATTGGGAAGATGACAACGAAACCAAATTAGTGAAGGTAAATTTTTTTGCTAACAGCACTTTCTGTCACACACTGTTCCACACACTGTTCCACGTGTGTGTGTTTTGCCTGTGTACCTATGCACTGGGAACATCACCTTTGTTTAGCATTACACTTTACTACTTAGTTGCCTGCGTCTCTTCCTCCTTACTGTACTGCACTCCTGCCAAAAGTTAACTTTACAGGAGAGTGACTCCTTTTGAGAGGACAGACAGGACTGCCTCGATTTTCCTGACTCAGCATGTTTGGAACAAAACAAGGACCAACTGCAGAAAGAGACATTTGTAATGGCTGCTCCAGAACACAAACTAAACAGAGCGAATGCGCAGCTGGCCTGGTAGCAGCAATAGAGCCTAAGCCTTTGCTCTTCATTTGGCAGCAAGAGCTGCAGGGCCTGCATTAGAATGAAACATTTTCTTTTCACCAGACCTCTTTGCCACATTCAGGAACACCAAAGATAAGATACAGTAGCTGACTTGAAAAGTGGACAGAGCCTGTTAGGATCTTATGTTAAGAAAACAGGCAGTATACTCCTGATCCAGTACATAGATTCTTCTAGGTTTGCACCACCTTGATTGTTACATCTCTAGTAATGCAGAAACCAGGATCCTGAGCTGAACAAGTTCAAAGAGAAACATCTTACTTGGGAAAGAGAAACTGCAGAATTAACTAAGATCTATATCATAAACCAACTTCAAACATGTAAAATAAGATCACCAAGTGAAGCACTTAATATTGGGTTCCTGATACTTCCACCATGCTAACAGTTTGTGATTTAAAAAAGCCACAAATCTTGTTCTCAGAAATTCATTATGTAGCACTGTACACTGAAATACAGGATGTTGTTATGCAGCCAAGCATCTGGGGAGATTAACCCCAATTAAAAGAAAATCTCTGGGAAAAGCAGCTATTTAACAGAACAAGGATGGCGGCAGGACAAACCAGCGGATTTGTGCAATTAAATCAAGTTGGATGTTAGGAAGCATTATTTTACCATGCAGCAAATCAAACAGAAATATTTACCTTGATCCTAAGAGATGCTCAGTACAAAGCTCCCAGTAGTTTCCCAGAAAAAAAACAGAGCAGTATCTTTATAGAGAGGGAGGACTAAAATGACCTCAAGCATTCAGGAATATGTTTTCACAGTACCAAAGGGGTTGTTGAACCCACACTGCAATCACAGCTGTGGGCAACAACAAAGAGATGAGAGGCCAGGAGGAAGATACAGCCAAGCCAAGAGCAGAGTGACAAAGCCAGATATAAAACCTGTACAGGGTTCTCTTCCTATGCTGCAAATCTATTCTCCCACTGCCTGTAGTCACTTCAGTGCTCGATCTCAACACAGTTAAATAATTTTGGTACTACGGCTCTGTTTCACCATTCTGAAATTCTACATAAACACTACATAATTAAAACAGCTAAAGCTTTTCCTGACAGTTTTCTTGCATTCAAATATACATGCTCATTCTTCCAAGTATGAAGCATCAACACTACTTGCAAGAAGCCTACTCCTTGAACTAAACAGAACTGCTTAGCTGATTTATAGGGCATTTACTGTAACTGCTTTTGGGCACAAACAAAGCAGTCTTTTTTTTTCTTTTTCAGTAAAGAGCCAGAACTGTCAGGAGTATCCATTAGCACAGAATTTGTCCAAGAAGAATTCTGTCATATTGCTGTTATTACAGGAAAGACAAGAAAAGTAATCTCAGACAAGGACATATGACTTGGCAGACATGTGAAACAGAGACATCAGCCTAATATTCCAAGAACAAACTTAACTACTGCCAGCAGCCTGACAGCTACAGTTCATGTGCATCTGCTGTTTCCCAGGAACAGCACTTTGCAGAAGTGTGAAGTTAGACACTTAACAATTCTATCAAGTTAAGACATAAGAGGAAAAAAACTCATCACACTGAACTCACATTTAAAAAAGAAAACAAACTTTAATATGTTTTTTTCCAAGATCTAATATACAAATGCAATGGTAATAATGTACTCTTCTTTTGTAAGCTTGGATGAAATATATTGAAGTCCACTTTTCGTATATTACATAAATAATCGTCTAAAGCAACCTAGAAAAGAAGAAAAAAGCTTAATCCATATGATGCACACAAAGGATTGGGCATTATATTTACAAAACAATGCATGAAACCAAATGAGAAACTGGAAAAAGGTTTGGCAGTTTGCCTGTGTTATTAAGTGGCAGTGTAACCATCACATTCCAAGCATGTCTAAAAATCAGGTTTTGTGAAGAGAAGCACTACCTTTCACTAGACCAAACAGCAAATAATAAAAATAGACAAGACTCTGGGCTCTTGCATATGAACAGCAGTCTATGAATACATAGACATCTTGGGTGAAATGATGTGGTTAAAGGAGAAGGATTAGAAGTGTTGATCAAACTATCAGGTTTCACAGTCAGGCACACATTGTGAATTTTATGAGTTTTAGGTATTACATCCTCCCAGACACATGAAGCAGTAATTAACCATGCTTAATTTGATACTCTTCACAAACACATTAGCACAGGAATGAACCCATCACTTAAAGAGTGCATGATATCACACCCACCGTACAGAAAAAAGCAGGATACGCCTTCACAGGAACTTTCTTACTGAAAGATCTAGCCTAAAAGTGATGGGGGCAAGGTGGGAGGAAAAAAAAAAACAAAACAAAAAACAAATGTACTTATCAGAAGAATTTAACATTTCAGATTAAACATCAAGTACTATATATAATGGTTAGAGGCAACAAACTATATTACAAGCTTCATCCCTTTTTAAACATCCTGAAACTGTAACTTTTCATTATGTGCAAGCCAACACCATCCCTCACTGTGCACAAAAGTAGTTACACAGAACGTGTGCAATATTGGGAGAAGCCTGCTAAAATACTCACATGGTTTGACAGACTTACAGATTACATATCATAAACCAATGTAAATTAGTATCCCTTGTTCCAGCAAAGTCCCAAGTTGCATCTGGTTTCATGCATACAGTTTAACCTTCCCCTCCCCAAATAACTCTCTACATGCCAACAGACACAAATGATGGAAGACCAGAAATGCATTTCTCTGAGTGCATATTTTTGGTCCAATGTTGCCATCAGTCCCAGGAGTCCAGTTGTAAATGCTCCAGTTACATTTCTGGGACTTCAAAATTATCTTGATTCCTCAGTATCCACATATAAACATCTAAACCATGGCTGAATCAAATCTACAATTTAAACTTGTGTTCAGCTCAGGTACATCTAACAGAGCTGAAGCAAGTCCTCCTGTAGTGCTTATCTATAAACACAAAATCCATCCTTGTTTTGCCTTTTCTTACAGGTTGAAACAAACCAACCCTAGATGAACACTGATGAGAATGTATGAGCTTGATAGTTTTCCACAGATCTTTCCAGACAACTGAGAAAAAAACTCAAATCTTTTCAGAAGGAAAATTATTTTAAAACTCTGAGATGCAGTAACATGTGTCTGTGTGTGTATCAAGCTCTAAAAAAGAAAAATGTTCTTCCCTGATCTAAAGCTCTGCCTTACTTTTAACTGTGAGATGAAAAAAGAAAGTAGTCTTGCTTGACCTTAACCCAGAATGGGTCCCAGATCATTCACAAAGCATGTTATCTGTCTTGGTACACTGAGTCCATAATGATGTAGCATAATTGAGATACATGCAAAAAGCCAAAAGGAAACCCTCTTTTAACAAGAGGAATGGAGGAAGGAATGCTTAAGAGAAAGAAGGGGAACACGTGAATGTATTCACAGACTTTTGAAGGGATCACTGAGAGACTGACAGAACACTTATTGTATGCTTTTACTCTAATAAAACACACAATTCCAAAAGAAAAGTGCAATCCTCATTATCTTATTTTGCCCTCTACTGGTCATCAGTCGCAGTATCAGGAACTGCTGACCACACTCCAGGAACTTTTAAGTGCCACATTACTACAAAATGCTTCACAGAACATTGCTGAGACTCAATTTAGCATTTTAGGATTATGTGTCTTCTGGCTGTGAATTGGGGCTGGTAACTGTTACCCTCATCCTCTAAAATACCTGGTTTGTGTAACAAATGCTGAGATTGTTGAAACCTCTCTGCAGGTTTACACTTGACCCTGCCCTGTAATTCTAACTATAACAAAGGATAAATGGCTCAGAAGACCCTCAGGCAAAACAAGATGGAGATTTTATACAAGAGAACAGATGCGTTTAAAGGCACCAGCCCATCACATTCACCTAAAGTCTTCAAATACCCAGTAAATGTTGCCAGCAAAAGCCCTTTTTGTCCATTAGGGAAGAAAGTGCCTTTGTCCTTGCATTAACAAAGACCATCTGATTATCAAGGAGGCAAATACCCTGTTACTGCTGCCAGTTATGGCCAGTTCAAGTGATTGGAGCACTCTAGAGTTCCTGCACTGTCAGCTATTCACTGATGATGATGGAAGCTAAAAGCAAGTATTCAGAGAAGAACTTTTTAATTTTAATTAAGATGATATAACCCATCCATTAAAAAAAACGGGGGGTGGGTAGAAGGTGCCAAGATCAACATTCAGTTGAATAAAATGTTAATTCTGCCCTAATCTGGTTTCCTTGTGTTCATACTTCTCTGTATAGTCTGCAATTACATGATCCCATTGCATATTTTCCACAGGACCCTCCCAGTGCATAACATGGGCAGGGCTCTAGGAATGAAGTGAGAAGAAAGGAGGCCTGTTCTCTTCAGAAGCTGGTAAGCATGTTGGGAGCCAGGGGACTCTGGCTATGAATTATCAAATGATCTGAAAGGTTCAGAAGAACTGAATTCTCTTCCTGCTTCTGTCCCAAAGTTTCCCTGCAATACCAGCAACCAGATTTTAAAGATGTGGACAATAAACACATATTGCTCATTTTCCATGCCTCCCATCCCTGATATGAGGCATTTCAGGCCAGGCACTTGGCACTTTTGTAAGCCACCGTTGCAACCAAAGTCAATGGGGTTTATACACTGTGCATTAGGGGTTGAAGGGTGGAGAATAAAAAAAAGAAACTCCAAAATATTTCAGCTTGAACAAAGATAATGCAACATAAAAAATGTCCACTATCTTTGTTTCTGTTCTCTGCTTCTAAATAGAATAAACAGTTTCCTTGGGCACGTGACAACAAAAACTGAGACACCAGGTGAAATAACATGAACAGGAATGCATTAAATGCAAATTATAATTAGTCTATGAAAAATAAAGCCCAAGGCTATATAAAATCATAGAATGGTTTGGGTTGGAAGGGTTCCTCTAGTTCCAACCCCACTGCCATGGGCAGGGACACCTTCCACTAGACCAGGTTGCTCACAGCCCCATCCAGCTTGGCCTTGAACACTCCCCGGGACGGAGGAGCCAGAACTTCTCTGAGCAACCTGTGCCAGTGTCTCACCACCCTCACAGTAAAGCATTTCTTCTTAATATCCAATCTAAACCTACTCTCTCCTTGTGAAAAGTCCCAGTCTGGCTTTCTTGTAGGGCCCTTTAGATACTGGATAGCTGTTAAAATTATGAACATAAAATAAAAACATTAATCAATTAACTAGCCACTGACTGAACAAAGCAGGGATGCCTCATTTTACCTTCAGAAAACCCATGAAGGGCTCTCCTATCTCTATTGCATAAAATACCATGATCACAGGTAATGCTGTAATTGGGAAATATATTAATAGTTCAAATGCAAAGATAAATCTGGCATTTCTTTACTTTGAAGTAGTATCTTTCCGGACTACCTTGACTGGGAGCACTGAGTGCAATACTCTGAGTGTACATGTACATGCACTTGTAGACATAAGAAACTCTTTGCAGTGCTTCTGGCAAGCTTTGTTTTCCAGATAAAGGCAGACAAAGCATTGCCAATGAAACATCTTTTGCTTTTGTACTATGCACCAACAAGCAACTCAGAGCGTAGCAAAAATAAAAGCATGAAAGAAAAATACAGTAAGACTATGCAGTTCTTCAGGGCTCATTATCCACTGTTCAAGCAAATAAAAGTACCTCCTAATTCACTTGGCTGTGTGCCACAAAAGAAATTAACAGAAAGTACCTTTCCCAACATAGCTCTGGGCATGGCTGGTCATGCTGGGGAATGAATCCCCCCTCCCACACACACCACCAGCAGTTAAAGCTAACATGCTCTGTTTTCCTGGCAGTCATTCCACTGGGCTGTGAAGCACCATATGCAGAAGTCCTTTCTATGGTGCTGATCCTTTGCTGGCACATAGCTGCATTGATATAAGTCAGCTTGAAGTTCCTCTTCCAGTAATCAGTCTTTTAGGCAGCATTTATAGGTATGAAATTTGACCTGGCTGTGAGTAAACTACCTCCTGTACAAAAAGATAAGTATAATATTCATACAGAAGCAGCTGCAATATTTAAAGGGTTTGTGTGGGTTTTTAAAGTCTCAAAGTAATTAAAGGCAAAACATTTGAAATTATGTATGCAGCTTCAAGTCTTCAAACAACAAAATCTGCACAATGCTTTGTGAAGGCTATCATCAATATGTTTGTTTAACTAAATAAAAGGGAAAGAATCTTACATGTTCTAGATGAATATGGGCCTGGCTGGCAATGTCATAAATTACATCTCTCACATTTTTCTCTTGCTTGCCTCTTATGACATCCTCTTGTGAAATTCCATGCTAGAAGGAAGGAAAAATCAATTTCCAAAAGAGAAAAAACCCTCTATAAATATCAAGTTTCCATTCTTGCTTCTCAAAAACTTGTCCCAGCAACAAAACTGAGGACAAAAGACTCAAACAGTCTAAGTGTTTTACCTTTTTAAATTCCTTTTTTAACTTTTTTTTGGTCAGTCACTTGGAAAAAAATTCAAAAGAACAAAGAAAACAGTTGGTACAGACTCTCCCTGCCTGAATTTGTTCCCTAAAATGTTGTGGTCAGTAAGATAAGAAAGTCAAATTTTAAACTTTGGGGAATTTAGATCATTTCAGACGCCCAATTTTTAAAACCATAATCCAAGAATCAATACTAAGCAGAAGAAACCCAGTAGCAGCTAACACAGAAGCCATGCTGTCTTATGAGATCTTAGCATTGGTGTGCATCACCCACAAAAAAATCTTTTTGCAAAAATAGCCAACCACTCATAAAAAGCCCAACCTACAAAACATCAAACAAACCCAGCCCCACAAAAAAAACCCCCAAACAAAATAACAGAACCACCAGAAAACTCCCCCTCCAACCCCCCAAAAACAACCCCAAACTAATTCTTTGACTATAGTGACCAACGTAAGACAAAACATGACATATTCAGAGTTGCACCCACTGCCTGTTCTCCTCAACAACCCTCAGGTGTGTGAACGCTGTACAGGGCAGGTGCTTCACAGGAGGGAGAGACTCCAGGAGAACTCTGCAGTACTTGCCAGCAGCTGAAACACTTACGAGATGCTCAGTCTGCACAGAAGGGATGCAAGCTGCTTTTACAGTTTCACTGCAAAACACCTTCCATAGCAAGGAATGCATGTGAATTTTCAGGCTATGTTTGAAAAGCTAAAAACTTGGAAGGCCTCCCATACCATGCAGCTCCAGAAGGGCTGAAAGCAGGGTGCAGCTCCTTTCTGCAGTCTTGTAACTCTGACCTATATTAGTACCTACATTTTCTCAGCTACCTACACATCACTAAACTTCAAATCTAAACTTTTAATTATAATGAAATTCTATTTGGAAAACACTAACACAACTGCCTTACGCATCACCACAATTTGGTTAAGTAGAAAAAGAACAGAATTTACTTTTAAAGCTAAAGACTGGGAATGAAGGAGTAACAGCTGAGACACGTACAGATCAAGCCAGAGAACATCAATGAAAAATTCTGACCTTAATCTCATTTTACCTAAATTGCAAGATCTGCTAAATTCCAATGTGAATTAGGTGTACAGTTTAAACTGGAGGACTATACCATCTCCTACAGCAACATGTGGAATATATGCTTATAGCTGGCAAATATGGAATTAAAAAAAAAACCACGTAACCACTGGCACATTTATGAAAAGCTAGTAAAGAGAAATCCAAGAAGCTTTTCCAGAAGTTAAAATTTCTCACAGTGCTTCCTTTACGGTGATAGGAAAAGAAATTAAAACAAAAAAATAAAACAAAACCAAAACCAAAACCAAACAAACCAGGAAAAAAACCTACATCCAACCCCAAAACACAAAACCCAAAGCCCCATTCCATACATGTGTTTTTACACATTAATGAATAAAAATTCCTGAAAACTAAGACAGTTCTACATGTCATTTAAAAAGAAATTCAACAAAAAAAACCCCAAAGAGAAACTGCAGAGTTTCTTGAAGGTCACTCCTCTCACTTCCCAAAACTTATGACAATGGCATATTACTAGGCCACAAAAGAAAGAGTTAAAATAAAGAACAAAGGTCTTCTATTTCTTTCTGGCCTAATAAATTATGATCTCATATCCAGCATTGAGAAACACAGTTAGAAACACTATACTGTTCAATTCCAGACAACTTGCTTCTCTTACCAACATACAAATGTCCATGGGAAGAAAGACCTTTTGTCTTGTACTATGATATGGAGTTGCTCTCAAACAGGTAACTATGCCTTGTGCTTTCCCAATGTGACTGGCTGCATGGTCAGCATGGATGTCCCTCACACCTGAAATTGCAGAAATAATATGCTCAGAAACATGCAGTCAGGCCTTTGGAGGGGTATAGTCTTCCCAGACGTGTATCACAGTCATAATTAAGGAAAGCTAAGTGTGCTGGTCCATGATAGAACAGTCTACGTGCATAAACTGCCTTGAGATCTCCTCTCAGAGGTGCAAAGCAGCAGGAAAATTCACTGATTTCCACATTCAGGAGCAAGATGCCTCTCCGCTTGTTGCAGTACCTGCAAAGGGTATAGTTAGCTCAGTGGCACCTATTCAGATATAACACATTGGTACACAAACTCCTTCTCATTGGTATCTCCTCTCCCAGGACAACAGTACTCCAAGAACTGTTTTTCTTGCCAGAAGAAAATCACTCAAGTGTGAGCTTGCTGACAAGCATTAATGCTTATGGTGTAGCTTCCTGATTAGCTGCAGCTGATTCATCAGTGTAGTGAAGCCAAAGAGATCGATCCTATGCTTCACACCCCAAACCCCTATTTCTGCCCCCTCCCTCATGCTGTCATGGGCAATGAGGCAAACTGAATCAGCTCACCAGGACAATGGAAAACTAACTTTGATTACTCCATGGTCACACAACTGTGAGAACTGAAAGAGGGAGATGATGGGGGCAGAGGAGCACCATTGCTCTTCATAGCAAGACCATACAAGATTGGCTTAGACTGATCATAAAGCTGTAATGTTTTCACAAGACTTACCTGGGATAAAACAAATATTTAAAGGAAAATTGAAATTAAAATCCATAAAAACTCTAACAAAAGTAGAATTCTACAAATAAAGAAATGAGAATACAGAAATTACAGCTCAATGAGCCTATCTGACATCTGAAATGATACTGGGAGTACCAGCATCACTGCACTAGCGTGTCCAAGCCTTGCATGGGTCCCAGAACCCTCTGTGAAACAGGCATACTGCAAGGACTGATTCTGGCAATGGCAGCAGACAGCACAGTGAAGCTCTGAGGGATCAACAGATATAACTTACTGATACTGACTGGGCAGCTCAGGCTTTACACATAGCTAGGAATTGGAAAAAAAAACCCCACAACAACCCAAAAAGCTCAAAGAATAAGAGTTAGCAGTGACTTGTGCTCAACCTGGGAATATATCCCACAAGCGAGGGTCTGAAAAGGTTTAACAGAATTGAGTAGTATCAAACTCCTAACTAATTAGAGAGCACAATTATTAATAGTTTCAAATGAGAGGAGCTGAGAGGAAGTATGGGGACTTTGGATGACACAATTACCAGTCAAAATGAGCTTGACAAAAGAAATAACCTGAAATCAGTAAGAATAAGCCAGCACTAGTACTGGGAGACATAACATACTAACTGGAGACTGGTCAGGAATAAAGAAGCTAAAATGCACAAGAAGTTTAGCAAACATGACCTGCAGTGACACAAGGTCCACCTAGTCTGGAAAAGTCTGCTGATGGGGAACACCAAGAACAGGGCTGTGTTTGATAAGTTTCTCCACTTGTGGAAAAAATCACATAAGTTAACTGCTTAACACACAGTGAAGGAGACTTTTGCTTAGATATTTTGTTACATCCATGTATTTAAGAGAAGTTAAACACAACAATAGGACACCTTGAACATCCAGAGTCCCCAATCAGATTTCAAAAGCAGGTTCATGGGAGGTGCATGGGAGGTTGGGAGGAGACACAGCTGGGACAGGTGACCCAAACTGACCAAAGGGATATTCCATACCATATGACATAATGCTCAGTATATAAACTGGGAGGAAGAAGGGGGCACATCTGGAGTGATGACGTTTGTCTTCCCAAGGAACCATTACGCGTGATGGGCCCTGCTCTCCTGGAGATGGCTGAACACCTCCTGCTCATGGGAAGCAGTGAATTAATTCCTTGTTTTGCTTTGCTTGTGTGTGCAGCTTTTGCTTTCTCTATTAAACTGCCCTTATCTCAACCCATGACCTTTCTAGCTTTCACCCTTCCAATTCTCTCCCCCAGCCCGTTGGTGGGAGAGTGAGTGGGGGCTTGGTTGCTAGCTGGGGTTAAACCATGACACTCCTACATTTCTTTGATCAGAAGTTCAGAAAGACCCTTGCAGAATTTCACTGAGGAAGCAAACATCAGACATTAAGAGACAAGTTCCTCATGTCTCCCAAAGAAGAATGTGCTCACCCTCTCTCTCCTTCTCTTTTTTCTAACTCTTTTAACCTCAGCATTGGCATTCCATCAGACCACTCTGATAGGCAAGAGGAAAATATTGCTACTACAATACTCTATATACTACTACATAATAATAATTTTCACCTTTTTTTTTCCACAGCTGTGCTCATGCAGGGAATACTTCCATAATGCAACAGACACCTAAAAGAAAATTACCATTTTCTTCACTACAAATGAACAGTTCTCTCCCAATCTGTGACTCCGATGTTAGACATGACACAGATACATGACATTGACACTAGTTCTTGATCCCAAGGATAATCTTTTTTGCATTCTTTTCCTAGCTATTCCATTATTGATAGTCAACCTAAATCTAGGAAGAGGAGAGGATTCAGACCATCACCATGGGAAGTTTATAGGTTAGGAGGTTGGCTGTTTCAAGATAACCAGTGTGCATCACTGCAATACAGGACAGCTGCAGAATACCTCCAGCACTTTGTTTTGACAAGTAGAACAATGGAAATATGGTGTAGAGCTGAATTTACCATGCTCTGTAGTAGAAGCAAGAAAAGAGAAAACAAAGCAACAAAGAACAGAGCAGTAGGAAACTGCACTTCGGTGAGCTCTGCACTGAGCAGCTTCCAAGGGAAGTATGTAGTTCTAGGACAGCTGCAGTAAGATTCCACACTTATGGTTCAGCATACAAAAGATACATTAAGTATTAGCTAAGACAACTTCTACTGAAGTCAAACTCCAGTGGAAAAAGAATGGGCTTTTTGAAAGATCAGTACATATTGTACCTGGAATAATGAGGCATCAACAAAGTGTAAAAAGGGTAAACCTCCTACCCAGCATTTCCAAGGTGAGGTACAAGAGAGCACTCTGAGTGTTCTCAGCATACGTTTCAAGCTCCTGGATGTTACGATACGCCTTGTCATCCAGATTCTTCTCCTGTAATACAAATACAGAGCTTCAGCAAAGCATGAACATAACTGCTGTTTTTACAAGTTTATTACTACAGTCATATCAACCTAATTCACTATCAGAAAACAGAAAAAGGACAAAATTGAGAGTCAGAAGGAGTACCAACCCTGAAGTAGCGATTAAAGCTTATAGCAAGTCTAACATAGCCAAGTAACTATGTGCAACTGCAGCCAAATCTGCCTACTGGAGTAAATAGATCTTTTTGCAGTCATATGAAATCAGAATTCTTCACAAAAAAAAAACACAGCTAAATCAAAGCATCATATGGTATTATTACACAATTTTAATACTTAATTTGCACCTGAAGCACAGATAAATTTAGATGAATAGGAATTTATTTTATAAAACATGCATAAAGTCAATCTATCAAATACACATGAGTTTCAAAGTCATATGCAGATCATAAAATCATAGAACAGTTTGGGTTGGAAGGGAACTTAAAGATCATCTAATATCAAACCCTCTGCCACAGGGAGGGACACCTTCCACCAGACCAGGTTACTCAGAACCCCGACCAGCCTGGCCTTGAACACCTCATGGACAGTCCACAACCACTCTCAGGAACCTGTTCCAGTGTCTCACCCACCCTCACAGTAAAGAATATTCCCGAGATCTAATCTAAACCTACCCTTCTTCAACTGAAGGCCATTCCCCCTTGTCCTATCACTAAACGCCCTTGTAAAAAGTGCTTTCCCAGCATTCCTATAGGCCCCCTTCAGGTACTGGGAAGCTGCTCTATGGTCTTCCCAGAACATTCTCTTCTCCAGGCTGAACAACCACAAATCTCTCAGCCTGGCCTCACAGGAGAGGTGTTTCAGCAACTGAAGGCCCCCTTGTCCTATCACTAAACGCCCTTGTAAAAAGTGCTTTCCCAGCATTCCTATAGGCCCCCTTCAGGTACTGGGAAGCTGCTCTATGGTCTTCCCAGAACATTCTCTTCTCCAGGCTGAACAACCACAAATCTCTCAGCCTGGCCTCACAGGAGAGGTGTTTCAGCCCTCTGACCAACATAGTGACTCTAATAATTAATACACCCAAAAATAATAAAACGCCCTTGTAAAAAGTGCTTTCCCAGCATTCCTATAGGCCCCCTTCAGGTACTGGGAAGCTGCTCTATGGTCTTCCCAGAACATTCTCTTCTCCAGGCTGAACAACCACAAATCTCTCAGCCTGGCCTCACAGGAGAGGTGTTTCAGCCCTCTGACCAACATAGTGACTCTAATAATTAATACACCCAAAAATAATAAAATATACCCAAAATAATGTAATACCTAATAAAATAGACCCAAAAATATAACATTCTCCATCATTCCTCCTGTCCTAGTGGCATTTGTGGTTAAAACACACCAGTTATAAGATTAAAAAATAACCTTAAGATTAAGAAACTCTGAAGTCTTTCATAGCAATGACACTCTGTGAGTAACTGACCATCAATTTCCTTAAGGTATAAATTCATGAGACACTAACTTAAGCAGAAAAACTGGCTTAAGAAATTCCTGCCCTCTGCTTTTTATCCTTGCCCTTGTGTCAGCTGGTAGGAGCATCACTGTACTAGTGAAATTCTTCCTCTTGTTTTTTCCCCTGAAGAAAACATATTTTAAACTTCATGTGATTTGAATGCTTCAATTTACACCACTGGTTAGGAAAATCCCCACAGGAGAATCAGCCAAGTGTGGCAGAAAAATTCAGAGGGGTCACTTAATTTTGGGGATTTTATATCCATGTGGACTCACAAACTACATCTATTTTAGAGAAAAAATAAACCAAGGGTTCTATTAGCCATTTTGGCCAGAAAGAGCAGAAACTATGCAGAGAGGCATCAAGGGAGAACTGAAAAGAAATATAGCATTATAATTTCTAAAGAGAAATACTAGTGTCTGGAAAAGATGAATTACATAAGCTTTTGTTTTACACACAAACACATAAAAATAAGGAAAAAAATCCCCAAATATGACTAAAATCAGCACCAGACTCTGAATGGTAAATACTTACTCTCTCATCAATGATCTTCATGAACCACATTTTAGTCAGGTTATGCCTCTTGACAGCCTGAAAATTATCAAATAAAACCTCCGTGTTAATGTATACAAAGTGATGGCAGTACTGCATTCTGAAGGCTGAAATATGTTTGCGTATCTATATTCACTGGGTTAAATCTAAGTGGCATCTCAGTGGAAAATGAGAATCTTCTTCAAATACAAACATTTTCAACTGGCATTTATTATAAGTTGCTGCACACAAAAAGTGAAATATCATACATCAGGAGCATTTTGTTTTTGAAAGTAATTTATTCTTGGAGTCATATGTTCCCACAAAACATTTGCAGATAATTATGTTCACTTTCCAAAAAGAACAGTCTCCTCCAGAGCCAAGCAACAGATATATTACCCCTGTAAATTTTCAAGAGAACATCAGTACAACACACCAATACATGCTGTAGAGACAGCCTCTTAACCAAGTAACATAATGAGCATTATGGGTTTGTTTAAAAAAGTATCCCACGGCATCTCATATTCATACATTTTTCTTTTGGCTCTTATCTTGTACTTGACTTCCTTCCTGTACCACTTCATTCTATCAACTTACCTTCAATCCTCTTAATTACACACACTGAATTTTCCAGCACACGCTGTCAGAGAGGCTGCAATCACATGTATAAACATTCATAAACACAACTCATGGAGTAGATTTCTCACAGTCTAGCCTTTATAACTCCCTTTCAACTTCTTCCTTACATCCATCATATTGGTAAATATTTTTTCAAGGTTTGACAAGATGACCTTCTTGTTGATTCAAAAATTCTGCTTCAGACACTACTTCGTATGTGAAAAGGCAGATTTTAAGTTACAACTACAAATGTCAGTTTTGGTTCTCATTTGTTCATCTTGAGTATCACTTTGTAAATTAAATCCTTGAAGTAGTCACAGGTCAAGAGTTAAAGCACCAAACTGAACTCTGCAAAATTACCCAGTTTGTACATTACATCCATTTTGAGTTACCTTCATTCAAACACCTAAGTCCTCATTTGTCAAAAGTTTTAAAAATTGGCTTCTCCCACAGAAATGGAGAATTGGGCCACACTTTTCCGATGTTCATAATGGACAGCAAAGAACAAGCATCATACAGCTGCTGATACTTTTTATATTAAGTCAGTTAGTATGAAACTCAGCAAGAGTTGAGCTATTAGCAATTGTAGAAATACCACTAAAGGCTATCTATCTACTTTACTAGTGCATAAAACCTTTGAAATCCAAATATGAGTATTCTGGGATATACAAAACTTCAGGAACACATTTAACACCATAAATTAAAATTTCTTCTGGAAAATCAAACTGTCCTCACACAAACTCAACAGCAAAAAAAGAGTATATATAAAATGTACTGCGCAAAGACATGCTACTTCTGTTAAGATCTCTGCAATATTTGTGAGTTCAGGTGTCTTTCCAAATACTTATTTCTCAGAATGGCAATGACATTCTCGGACATTTGTGAATCTAGGGTCTTTAAGTAGGTCATTCTTGGGGAATATGCCAAAATGTAGGAATAAAATCACATCTTGAGTGCAAAGGTCACCAGGTGGGGTGGAACTGTTGGTTCACTACAGTGCCCTGCAGCATTCAGAGCCCTCAGAGGTCCTAGAAATACTTCCTGAATTATTTTTCAACATCTTATTGCACAACCAGTTTTGTTTGGATTGCCTAATATAAGTCTTCTTTTAGAGGAACCGTATGAGAGGTGAAATCTTACTACAGAGATAGACAATTCATAGAATCATAGAATTTTAGGGGTTGGAATGGACATTACAGATCATCTAGTCCCAACCCCCTGCCATGGGCAGGGACACCTCCCACCAGACCAGGTTGCTCAAGGCTTCATCCAACCTGGCTCTGAACACTGCCAGGGTTGGGGCTTCTACTACCTCCCTGGGCAATGTGTTCCAGTATCTCACCACCCTCACAGGAAAAAACCTTTTTCCTGATATCTAGCCTAAATTTCCCCTCCTTCAATTTGAACCCATTGCCCCTTGTCATATCACTGCAGCTCCTAACAAAGAACTTCCCTCTTTCCTCCACTTCAAAAATAAATGTTCTGTTTTGTGAGGAAGAAGTATGACTGGCAGTCTTAGCTGCTGGGAAGGGTTGCAATTGGTATCCCAGTATCTGAATTATTTATGTCTGAGTACTGTACTGGTTTTGGCTTGGGAGGAGTTAATTTTCTTCACAGCAGCTTTTATGGACTGTGTTCTGGGTTTGTGCTGGAAGCAGCATTGATGACACAGGGGTGTTTAAGCCGTGACTGAGCAGTGCTTACACAGTGTCAAGGCGTTTTCTGCCGCTCACCCCTCCCACCAGCAAGCAGGATGGGGGTGCACAAGGAGTTGGGAGGGCTGACAGCAGGGACAGCTGACCCCACCTGAACAAAGGGGCATCCCAGACTATTTTGCATCATGCTCAGCAATAAAACTAGGGGGTAGTTTTGCAAGAGGGAGCAGCCACCTCTGCTCAGAGACTGGCTGCGTATTGATGCACACCCTCCATGTTAATACACATATAAGCAGTCTGAAATTAAAAGTGGTCAAAATAATATATACAATCATACCCAAAACTATCTAACCCACTCAATCAGACAACTAAATGAGAGCATATCTTTAGAAACAAAAATAAATTAAGCTACACTAAAGCAAGTTCCTCCTTGGAAAGGAGACAAAAGCATTTGGGGAGAAAATGGTCTTGTTCCTGGGAAGTTTGCCATATGCTGGAAGACAGAGAGAGAAAGAAGAAAGGAAAAAGCAAAAGCACAGACAGATTGACGTGGTAAATGACCAATTCAGCACATTAATGTCTGTATTAAAGTATAAACCTAAGTAAATCTTCAAGTCCCATAATCCCAGCAAAAGGCTCACAACATTGGCCAGTCTTCATTCTAACTGTACAAACGCTTTGATGTGGCTAAGGAACATGTTTATCTGAAGACACCCAGGAATAGCTCTGGTCCTCCTTAAAAGTGACTGTAACAGGTGTTTTGTTTTATTTTATTTTCTGGCATTACCTATGTTTTCTCTTAGTTAAACAAAGTGTATCTTAGTTTAAATCTCAATTTTAATCTAAACATGAGAGTTGACAGACAGAAACAAATGCTCACTTATGCTTTATTTCACATTTGAAAGAGGAAGTCATGGAGAGGCCACAGATTCAGAACAGCCAAAAATAATTTTTGAAAGAGGATTTGGAAAGGACTCATTTTTCTGATCTGAGAGGTGCAGCAGAATTGCATCCATCCCTGAAAGGGCTCAAGGACAGGCTGGATGGGACCTTGAGCAACCTGGTCTAGTGGAAGGTTTCCCTGCCCATGGCAGGGGGGTTGGAACTAGACAATCTTTAAGGTCTCTTTCAACTCAAACCATTCTGTGAATCTGGGTGAAACCAAAATGGCCCAGAGAAGTCATGGATTCTCCCTCACTGGAGATATTCGAGAACCATCTGGACACAATCCTGTGCCATGTGCTCTAGGATGGCCCTGCTTGAGCAGGGAGGTTGGACCAGATGACCCACTGTGGTCCCTTCCAACCTAACTGATTCTGTGATTCTATGAATATTTGGATAAAGACTCCACATCTCACTGCCTGTTTTTCAGCAGATCCACAAACCTAACTACCTATGGATCTATCTTAACTGTATTTGGCTACTGAGATTTAGACAAACTGCAGTTTTTCCTATCCAGGAGCTCAGAGATCTTCAGTTTAAATGCAAGTTCTGATCTTAGAGAGCAGAGGCCTTACAGCAGCTACTCTTTCAGAGCAGCCTGTGGACTTGCTGCTCCAAAGACTTGCTGTGGCCCATGGCCATCAGATGCCAAGTTAACAACATATGGCATTTCCATACCCCAAAAAAATTCAAAATTCATCCCAAAGTGACCCTGACAACCTGATCTACTTTTGATGTTAGATCTTCTCTAAGTGGCAATATGGACTAGATGACAACCAGAGATCCCTACCAATCTGTGGTTCGATGTCCATTTACACTGCCTTCAGACCTTCAATCATCCACTGAAGTCCTTACTGGAACCATAAAAGTTTGGAAGAAAGCCTATTGCTTTTCCCATGCCCAGCAAAGGAATAGATCTGTAGGTGTATTTGTGTGTCACATTTAGTGCCTGCAGAACCTGGGCATTTTGGTAAAAATAAACTATTTAGCTCACAATACATTCTTGTTACTTAATGCACATAGAAGAATCTGTGCAAAACATTATACATAAACAGAAGCCATCAAGCAGCTCTTGATGCAAGGAGACTATTTATCGAACACACATATTAGTGTATGTGTCCTTATGGGTTAAGTAAAGGTGGCCCATCCACCTTGGCCGAAATAGATTTTGTCCTAGTTGGTAAAATATGAGACATCATGAGATACTGTCCCTACCCACTAACCCGCAGAATCTTTCCTGGGTTGTGGCACTAAGCATTCAAGTGTCGTCAGAGCCCTTCAATGTCCACTTTCCTCACCTTTATTGAAACAATTAATCAACTACATTACAGGTGTTATGAACTCAGGGTTGGAGACTACAAACTACTTGGGATGGTTCAGCGGTGCAGGCCTTACTGGCAAATACATGTACAATGTCTACCAAAGTAAAAAGTGCACTGAAAGCCAGTCCCTTCCTGACGGGAGCTCTCTGAGCTTTCAAGAGTTCATAATTGCCCTGACACCATTTCACACATACACCAATGGAGAAGCCAAAAAACTTGATTTCCAAAGCACTCGTTGTTTCCTGGATCTGGGGTCAAAGGTGCTGATACTTGTTGACCTTTTCTTTTGCCACCTCTTCCAAGCTGGAGTCCTTGCTCTCCTATTTTATTGTGATGTCAACCACCAACACCTGGTGTTCTTTCACAAAAACCAGGTCCAGCTTATGCAGATTGCTCTGGTTATCCCTGATGTTAGGTTTCTGTATGACCATCCACTCCTTTCTTTTCACTTCATCTGCTAACAATTGGCATAGCTGGTTGTGCCTTTTTATATGGGCTTCTTGGACTGCACAACAGTACCTGATGATGTGGGCACTGGATTCGGTGTCAGCCTGGCAGTGCCTGCAGGGCTGGATGTATCATTCTTGTCTGCCCCTGGCCAGGAACTCTCGATGGGGGTAGACGTTGGGTCTCAGTTGGATTGCGGTGATGAGCTTTCTGTGAAGTGTGCCTCGGTAGTGTTGAAGCCAATAATTGCTGATCTAAGTTGGAAATACCACAGCCCTGGGAAATCAATTTCTTCCAGTTGGTAAATTTCACTCTCCTCTAGTTACAGGGCCTCCAAAAACTGATCTCTGGAGTGGCTGCCTTCCATTCTGATTCTGGCTCATCCTCACCCTGGCTGGAGAATACTAGAACTGTTCTGGGGTCTCAGATTGATGGGATCTTTTCCTTATAGCCACCTACTCTTACCTGTAATTTCTTACACTCCTCCTCAATTCCTTCTGCTTTCATAACTGCTTTTATTGTGTCATCGGAGGACTGTGCTAGTCTGTGCAGTCTCAGGCCTGCACGCTGGGTATCAGCCCAGACAGCCTAGTAATCCCTAATCCACAGTCTCTCATGCTGGAATCTAAGAGACCATCACAAGTGCACGTTGGTAGGTACAGCCATTCTTTGACAGCTGATCTTATTTGCGTGTCAAGGGACTCAAGGAATCCTGCCTTCACTTCTGCCTGGTCTGCCAGATACAGAATTCTGGGTATTGTATATCTTTTCAAGTTGTCAACCTTCTGCATTGGCTTCAGTGCCACCTTACAAATCCACTGGATCCAGTCTTGCAATTTAGATGTTAATTTGGGTTTTGCGATCCCCACCCAGGGGTCAATGTTGAGACCCAAGCATTTTTTGGAGCTCCTGGGATCATAAAATCAACCGGGTTGGAAACGATCATCAAGTCCAACATGGTTACTAGACCACGGCACTAAGTGCCACATCCAGTCTCATCTTGAAAACCTCCAGGGATGGTGAATCCAAAACCTCCCCGGTTGTAGTCAGGCATTCCAATGCCTGACTACTCTC